TTTGAAAATTGTAAAATGTATTTGTCTATGTGATGTGATTGGCTCATAAAATGGCATCTAAATGTTTTTTTTTATATAAATTATAAAAAAATATGTAATATACATTAAATATATAAATGTATATATATACAGTCAAACCAAAATTTATTCAGACACCTTCAACATTTCACACATTGTCACATCGCTATAGTTTAGAAAATGGTAATAAAATATGCCAAGAACTCAAGAGTTAAACTGTGCCAGAACAAATTCATCTTGATAATGTCAGATAACACTTAAGCAAAACATGGTCAGGTCAAAGTGTCTGAATAATTTTTGGTCCCAAATTTTTATCAATTTTACTGGTAGTCCACTGTATGAAGAATTTTTGGCTATAATATGTCACAATTCACTTTATTTTGCTATCCTCACTTACATAAATTAACTATAGTGTCCTGCACCCACTAGTAAAAAAATATCAAAAATTATATCTGGTGTCTGAATAATTTTTGGTTTTACTGTATATTAAAGCTGCAGTAGCCTACATAACTTTTGTCTCTCTATCGCCATCTCTGTTTAAACATAAAAATCGTTATGTTACTTGCGGAGTTATTTTTTACATGGGTTGTGCTTCGGCACTAGGCCTCTGTGCGAATGAATCTGTGATCACCACATCAGAGCGAATCTGTCATTGTACATTCACACACATATAGTATATCCCAAAAAATGTCATGTGAACAAGTAACATATCTGGCGCTTTAGTTCTGACCAAAAAATTTTTTTTTAAATAAATCACGTTACTGGTGTTTAGTTCTTACGATTGGTCAGATCAGATCATAGAGCAGAAATGCTCTCTCACACACACACATAGCTAGCAGAAAATAAGTGTAATTTACCTCACTGGCCATAGCAAAATGAGAAGAAGAAAAAAACAACCAACGAAGCTCAATACCCATCTGAATCAAACAAACAAGTGCGCTAATGATAGCTAGCTACCTATTGAGCCACTGAGATGTCTTAGCTGAAAAAAAAGAAGCCATCTCTGCATCAGTCTTCAATTCCTCCAGCTATCGGAGCTGTCCCCACCTTTTAAAAGCCATGTCAATATTTACTCTCATTTTAGCACAGGCTTCTCTCGCTTTCTCTTTTTTGACTGGCGACTCCACAGTTTGAGGTTTCTTAGTTTTCACAGCAGGTGCCCTAGATGTTAACAATGACTACCATTTAGAACTTTACAGATTAAAAGCAGCCATCGAGATGACGAGTTTAAATTCTCAGCAACTGTTGTAAGAACAAGCTACAAACCCCCCGCATTGTCTTCTTCTTTTATGTTTACAGATATGATGTAACCACGCAAAGACTAATGGCATTAAAAAGACAAATGACGTCAATTTCCCGTGAAATCATACCCGACACCTCAAATTATAAATCATTATAAGCTTTCCATTGTGAATCGATAAGGTAAGGAGACAGTTTTGAATGCTGACGTCTAATGTACTTGCTCAATAACCTTTTTTTTGGGTCATTTTTAAAAGGTGAATCACTGGTCATTATTTTCACTAAAATAAAAGTCAATAAGGACAAGAACTGTCAAAAAAAACCACAAATGTAATACAGTATAATATAAAACAGTATAATACTACCACTTGCCCACTGTATTCCAGGTTTTCTGATGCCATATGATCAGTTTGTGTGATGTACAGACCAAAATCGTCACTCTTTGCGTCAGATCTTTTTAACAGCTGAATCAGTTTATCCGGTTCCCAAAACTGGCCTTAATGATTCACTCATGATTCAGACTCATTTGAACTGACTAACTGAAAGTTCTAAGATTCTGAGATCTAATTTAAAAGAAAGTCATACGGATTTATAATGACATAAGGTAAGTAAATTATAATAACAGGTTCATTTTTGGGTAAACTGTTTATTTTAGTTACCTCTAGGATGCATGACGTCCTGTTATATTAAGATATGATATCTTAATAAATGGTAGCTCTCCTTTTTTTTCCACCTCCCTGTATAATGTACTGTTTTGACATAGGACATGCAATTTTCTCACCTCACAAGCATTACGTTAAAGCAGGATGCCTTATGTTATGCGATGTCACTTTACATTACACTGCACATGACATTATTATCCATTCAGCTTTCGAGCATGGGGTCACCTCTGAGAAGAGAAATGAAGACATGATAATGATAGCACTCATCTAGATGAGAATATTTATCCAGTGTTGCTGTCCTCCCTCTGACTTATTCAACGCACAAAAATCCATTGCAATGGAGCCCCACTGCGGATGACCTTCTGAATGAGAAGTGCTCCCATGCATTGACAATGAATATGCATTAGAAAGATTACAATGAGGTGACAAGGCAGGAGCTCTCATCCAAATACCAGCACAGCTGGCAGCCAGCTTTCCTGAGCTACTCCTCACCTCTTACATAAGAGCACAGCAAGCTGACAGCACCTCACCCTCCACTCATGCAAACCAAAAGATCTGTGTTGCTGTTCTCAGCTGTCTCGCCTTTGATTCGACAAGAGCAGCTGCATGTAGAACTTCCTTGAATTGCAAGAGGGAAAATAATTTATTGTATCGGGGCATAGGGGAATACTAGCTTCCGTTATTAGCTTATTATGATGATGTTAAACCAAAGTGTCAAAGTAAGACATACCCCTATCTATCAGGAAAAGCTTCCACCATCTGTCAGACCCAGAAATCCCAGGTGGCTTCATATAGGGATTCAAACTTCCGTTGGTTACCCTTCACTGTCAAAAAAACACCTGAGTGGAACATCCCAAGGATGACCAAGCACTAGACTGGACAGTGATATTTGTAGGCCCAAAGACTCATTTGCACCCATGAGTGATTATGGCTATTAGTAATGTTGATAACATGTTATCATTGATTGTTTAAAAGCACTAGGTGAGGGGAGGCATGAGGATGCCGAAAAGTGTTGCAGGACTATTTTGAGCTTTCAAATAGTAAAAAAAAAAAAAAACTCTCTCAGAAGAGTGTGTTCTTTCTCATGATTCTACTGATAAAGAAATGTATTATTCATAATCCAAGTTCTTGTTTTCATTTCAATGAGCTCCTGCAGACATTTCTATTTGTCCTTGTTATGCATATACACAAACATGGTAGAAAGGAAAACTAATCTTAATACATTTACATATCTTTTCTTGGCTGGTGCTCTTTTACGAAGTCAACTTGATATGGTGCGAGCTAAAAAATAAAATAAAAATAAAAAGAGAGTACATTCTAAATAAAGTCTGCCATTAAAGCTTTGTCATTTACGTCACTTTTGCATTCAATTATTTAACATTTATATGTAACATTCATCAACAAAACTGTCCATCCAAAAAAACATGTTTATGTAAATGGCCATGGTAAAATGTGGGCATCGGATATTTTTAAACACCTCCACTTGAAAAACAATGTGGGCATTCTGACTCATAAGCAATGCACCAGCTGTGCAAGAGACCTCTGAAACAGCGTGAGTTTGGCAGAGAATGGAGGACAGGCTTAGCTTGGTGAGCACCAGCAAGGATGGGTCCTATCTAAGTCCCTGCAGGACTGAGAACTCGCTGTGGGAGGGATGTCTCAACTCCATCTGGCCCAGCAGCGTGTGTGCCTTCATGCCGAACCGAACCAAGGTCTGCAAAATGTTGGCACAACGTGTGAGGCATTGCATAGCATTTGAAAGGAAAGATTCAGAGATGTGTCACCATATGTCTGTGGATATCTGCATGTTCCTCACATATGGCAATGGCATGTAGGTCTGTGATTTTGACTCTTTTCTGTGATGCATGTGTAAATGTTAACATGGGAACAAGCCTTTAGTGAGTACCATAGACGTAGTTGCTGCCAAAAGTACGAATTCTCCAGACTATTGTGTGATGAACACAATCTGCCATCTAGTGGACACATTTAAATCGCAATTGAGAAAGAGAAAGCTTAAAGAGATTAAATAATGTCTATATTTACAGCATGTTTTGGAAAGATTTAAGCTTAACATTTCATACCTGTGAATTTTGTGCACAGGAAATAGAAACAATGTTGTGTTTGTTTTATCATTATATTTACTCAATATTATTTTGGATGAATTTAGAAATTAACAGAAAACTGTGTATGATCGACATTTGTGTCTTTGATGTGTTTTGTTTATTTTCGGAATTTTAGACGGTAAATAACAATACATTATGCAATTATTTATTTTGTTAGAAAAATACCACATACATAAAAAGAAGTCTTTGCTAACCAAATTTCGTACGTTATACAGATTTATGCTGAAAACATGTAATGTTTTAAAAGCACCGAAATTTATGTAACTTTTTGGCAGCTAATAATAATGTTATGTACTTATGTAACTATTAGGTTAGGTTAGGCTATACCTTCTTATGGCATTGAATA